TTGGAATAAACAGGAATTTCGTCTACGGTTTTGATTCTATGTTTCACTTGATTAGAAAATGTTAATTTAGAGTTTTCTCTGTGAAAAATATCTGAATAGGATCTACAAAGGCTTTGAATGTGATGTTTTTCTTCACTATTCATATGTTCTGTACGAATGAGATTTGTGACATCAAATTTATTCAAGTTTTGTTCTTCATAAGGTGAAATAAATGCATGAAAAATTTCAAAGTCGTTTCTTTCGAAATGTCTAGCTGAGATCGGAAGGTTAAGTTTAATTTCTTGAACAAAGTCCGTTCTATTTTGGATATCTACAGGGGCGTAACCATTTTTTGCGGTGGTCAAACAAGCGGGTATACGACATTTTGACAAGTTTGTTTCAGGAATAATTATTTCGCCATTTTCTTTATCAACGGGAATTCTAAAAGATTCTGTGGAACACGGTTCAATACGGGCAAAGAACAGCAATTTGTTTCTTGGCTCGTACATGTGTAACGAAATTTCGGTTGTGGGAGTTTTGATCACTGAATTTGAAATTTTGATATCTACATTTAAATCTTTCAACGTTTCATAGCCAATAAGGCCATCGAAAAAATTATGGAACTTGAATAAATAGAATTTGATTTTCTTGTCGCAATTAAATTCGGTAAAGGCTGGTATTTCGGCACATAAGTTTCGCGAGGTAGTTTGAAAAATAGAAGATATTGTGAATGGTTCATTTCTTATAAATTCGGGAAAGTGAATTTCGGCAATTTCTGGGTTTAGGAATGATTTTGTTGCACCAGTATCAATAAGCAATTTTAGAGGTGGATTTGAAATTTCAATATAAGGCAGCTCTTTACGATCATAAATTGAATTAATTTCTATGTATGGTTTTCTTTTTGCTTGGCTATCTGAAAATTTTGTTCTGGATTCGTATTGTGTTCTAACTGTTTGCATGTTTTCTCGGAAATTCCTTCAGAGTCGTGTTCATAGTAATCTACAGCGTATTGAGGGTCATTGTCAGGATAATAGTCGTCATATTCGCATATTTCATATTGTTGAGAAGGTCCGGGAATATCATAGTCGGGAAGGTAGTTGTAAGGTTCAAGGTTGTGTAGTTCATCTGGCGAAAAATTCGAACGATGAGGCTGATATGAATTTTGTCGGGGAATTGTGCCATGAGATATGCCACTCATTGGCGTCGGTCTAGGTCGGGAAATTGAATTTTGTTGGTTAGGTCTCCAAACATTAGTTGGGTTTCTTTGTTGACCAAAAACTTGACTGTTTGTTAAAAATCTTTGAGGTTGACTTGGTCTAGATTGAATATTAATAGGTCCACGTGGGAAGTTATGGTATTGATTGAAATTTGGAATATTTTGTTGATTATTACGTGCAAAATTTTGTGAATTGAAATTTGAATTATTATTGAAGTGCGTATTACTATGTTGGGAATTTTGAATTGGTCTCTGAGGTCTATTTCTGGCATGCTGATTATAATTTTCAAATTGATGCGGCTTTTGTAAATGACGGATATTATTTTCCGAAATGATATATTGTCTTGCTTCCGCTAGACTAGTTGGTTTCATGGCTCGAATAGTTGATCCTAGAGGTTCTTTAAGACCGGCAAGAAATATTTTCAAGGCATGAGTATTGTAAAATGTTTTCTTGATATGTTTCGTTTGCGGAACTACTTCATGAGTGTCAATATAATTATGCAGAGCGCTCAAGTTAGACATAACTCTTGTATAATATTGTAAAGAAGGTTCATTATTTTGTTGTCTCAACTGATCTAAATCAAACAAAAGTCCATTTTCGTCTCTTTGGTCTCCGAAATGGGCAACCAAAGCGCTTTTCACGGATTGCCAATCTTTGGCAATGCAAATGCTATAAACTTCTCTAGCTTTACCTATTAATTTGGAATAAATTCCGTAAATAATAGTCGTATTCTGAACACAATTTATGTTAGCGGGATTTGGATCCCAATATGTATTTATGATTGTATTTGCTGTTTCTAAAAATGATGATAATTCCAGCGGATTGCCATCAAATTTTGGAACAATTTCTAATAATTTCGATTCGAAATTTGGAACAACTGACATACTTGAATCGTTAGGTACTAAATTAGGTGAATTAGTTTGACTTTCAGTATCTTCTCCTAGTGATAAAGTTTCAAAAATTGAGCTTATCTCACTATCTAAATTTATACGTAAATCTAACTCGTTCGCTCTATTTTCTGCAATAGAATCAGGCAAGGACGAGGAGAATGACATAGACAATAAAAGGAAAGCAACTTACAATACTACAATGGTGTTGATGGTCTTCATCAGGTACTCGAAGTCTTCAGGGTTTTCCACTGCGGAGGTCCTCTGAATAAACAGCTTGAAAACCGACGGGATTTTCACGATGAATGCCCGTTCAGTATCCTACCGACTGCGCCACTTTATGTTTTTGGTTATCACCAAAAGCTTTTTAAAAAATGAATTTATTTATTGAACAAAAAAATGTCGAAGTTTTATTAGAGAGAAAATTACAATGCGTCTTTACTGTGTGAAGTCTATGTCAAATCTGATGAGAACTAGTCGGTGAACGTCTCGTTTCCTGCAAAGCGTAAACTGATTCTGCATCCGTCAGCGGTCTCAGCATATCCCGTGAGAACATGGTAGCTTATGATGTTCCCATACATAATTCAGCTCAACTATACGAGGTAGAAAAAACTTCAAATATGAAAGTTGTAAGGTTTCATAATATACTATCTTTTGGTACTCCTTAAACAAATACAAATCGCAAAATGGAAAATGAGATTCCAAAACAGTTTTTTTTTTAAAGAAATATCCTATAAGTATATTTTCAGCTCTAGTGAAAGATATTTTTCTTCTGTTCTCAAATAAATAGGGTGTCCCAAAATTGCTGGGACACAGAGCTATCAAGTGTTTAAAGTTCAAAATAAGTTGATTGGACCCAACTTGTATAAAATAATGTAGTTTATCCGTGAAACGAATTCAAAGTTCACATAAACAAAACACATTTTTCTATGATGTTCAAAAATCAGTGAAACAAATTAGATGACATTTGACAAAAGTTGATTTTAGAGGATAACCCTTTCTTTCAGTAGTCAAAGAAACCCGAAAGAAATCGTAAAAGTTTTGAAACCACCCTCACCCCCTGATTTTTTTTTTCAGCACATTCTCAGGGGTAGTAATAGGGTTCTCAAAATTTCTTGAGCGAGATGAGACAAGATTCGAGCATTGAGATCTCCAGTTGAGACCTTCATCTATAGAGACACCTAAAAATGTGATAGTTTTCTCTTGTTCAATATTTGCATTACCAACGACCAGATTTACAGGTCCTGCACTTTTTTGCCATGTATTATATCTCACTAAGTTAGTTTTAGTTGGATTGAGGTAAAAATTATTGGAAGAAAACCAGGTACTGAGAGAGTCGAGTACTACACTACTCTTGGCAGCAATATCGGCATCACTTTTTTCTGATATTAATAGAAATACATCATCAGCATATAATATAATATTGATATTGGGTCATATGGCACTTATTTCATTCATACATATAATAAACATAGGGCCCAATATAGATCCTTGTGGCACCCCCATGTTAACGCCCGCAAGTGATGATGAGACATTTGTATTTTCTGTCTCATTTCTATAATTAATGCAAACTGCTTACGCTCAGACAAAAATGATGCAATCAAATCAAGTGGGGTTCCTCGTACACTCGTCTTCCGATGAAATGTCGCGGTTGGACGGTATGAGCGCTCTTATAGCAGCGGTGATTGAGAGACCTGACACCGTCGAAGACGACTGTATACCAATATCAAATAATTTATTCAACAACATTCTGAGATTTACACAGTCGAATGCCCTGCTGAGATCACAGAAGATGCCAACAGGGCACTCGCTATGCTCCACGAAACATAATAATATGTGTTCAGCCGTTTCGTCTGCCACACAGCAGAACCGACAATCCGTTTCTTGGTGCAGACCCATCCTTCCCAGGTGCTATCTTAGACGACACGACAGTGTCCCGTAAGCAGTCCTGTCAGAATTCGCAGGTTACCCCTGCTCCATTCTAGGATCTGCCTGGTTATATTTTCCGATGGTTTAGGCAGAAATGCCTTCGAATGGGTTAATCTTGGTAATTCAGACCAGTATACGCGAGTCTTTTCCCCTCTGCCCAGTCCGAGATAGTTGTTTTGGCCGCACTTGCGATGATTCCTAAGTATGGTTCTGGTCCTATGAACACAGATTCGGCTCCCTGGCGAAGATGTCGGCTTCCTCGTTGCCCTCCACCCCCTGGTGTCTAGGCACCCACAGCAAAGTTTTCACCCAGGCATTCTAGGAATTCAATGCAGCTCCATACAAGCGTGGAATTTTTCTTGCTGGAGCTCAGTGTTTCGAGAGCTGTCTGACTATCTGATACGGTACTGATGTTTTTGTTTACTAAAGGTCTATTCGTCAACTCTCTAGCACACAATATTAATTGATATAATAGTGAATTTAACCCATATAGATTTTACCCCCACTGCCAATTCTACAGTAATAGTTGACATAATAATTACATTCAGTTACAGCGACAAAATTCGGTTTAATCCTCAATGGAGAAGACCACTGATTTTTTAAAACATCATCCTGAACTCTATACTGAAAAACTACCAGTGAATCAATTTTGAATTATTCCATTCATGCTAGGACAATGAAAAAAATAAATTAGAATATGTCTATTTCAAAACACACAATTCCTGCGCCATTCGAAATGGTGTCAATTCATTGGTGTGACTGGTGCGACGTATTAGTCCCAACACGCCTATTGTCCTTGAGCTGACCAATCACACTGCAACACTGCAGAATGGCAAGGTATCAGAGAGAGATAGCTACAGTTCGGGACTAATACGTCACGGCTCCACCTTCATATTTGGCTTTCACATCATAGTATTTTTTCCTGAATTCCAACTGGAAAAAGTGTAGTTAAGGAAGGATCGACATAGTCTGAATAAATATCTACATCAACCTATACACTATTTATTTCATTATAATTAGTATCATCCATAATATACAAATTTTAAATCTACAAACACTCAATAAAATCAAAAACTTCCAAGAGGCAAAATGAAGTCACTGGTTGTTTTGTATATTTATGATTATTTCATCACCAACATTGTAATTTTTTGAAATCGTGTGTTAATCAAGACTAATAGAAAATAAAAATTGTGATAATTGGATATATTCATACTAAATTTAAAATGATACAGATCTTCAGAAACTGTTATTGATGATTCAAAACTATCTTAAGTTTTCAAAATTACCTGCTCAACACCACTAGCATAAATGTATTTATTAATATGATAATATGAATATTATTTTTTAAATTAGAAATAACTTTCAAGGCAACTATAATATAAATAACAGTTTTTTTCTCAATATATTTACAGTTAAAAATATTGCAGTGAATAAATTCAACAAATTTTATGGAACGCAAAATGTTCAAAGATGTTCTGCATTTTTTCTAGGAAATAACATATCACATTCGAAGCCAGAAGTAAAATCAAATAGTATCATTTTCCAAAAAAAAAAGAAACATCTAGGAAATAAATTAACAGGCTATGAACATATTTTTTTTCAGTTATCCAATATATACAGTGTGGAGACTTCAACTGGAATAAATTCGTTAGCGGGAGGTGATTATTTTTTCAAAAATTTCCCGACATACGTCAACGATTTAATGTATTTACCAACCTTTCGCAAGCAATATGGAGAATATATCCCCCCAGGAGTAGCTGAAACCACCCTCAGCATGATTTTTCAAATGTAACCCTATAACTTGTGACCCCTCATTGGAAAGCTGGTGGAGAGCAGGTTTTCATACGTTTAATGGTTCCATAAATTCGAAATATAATTTTTAAATTCAATTTTTTTTTCAACGTATCAATCGCTCAAACAATTGATGGCAATTTTTTGCCGCATCTGCTATTGGCTGTTGTATTCCAGTGTTTTTATAGAGCCGCAAATAGAAACTTAGTTTTTTCGCCATATTCACAGATCGACAAAAAGTGTTATTGCAAACTGGTTGAAATGTCCTATATCACTTTTACTAAAATTCGAAATTGTTATGAAAATACGTTGAAAATATATTGAACCACCCTCAAACGTACTGAAAACTGGAATATGATCTATACTGGATTCCTCTTTCAACCTGCTTTTCATTTGAAATAAACATGTTGGGGTTGATTCCAGCTACCCCTGATCTCCATATTGCTCACCAAATGTAGGTAAATTCAATTTGAACGTTCACGTGTCTCGTGATTTTTCAGAAAAATCATTCACACCCACAGTAGCGAATTTATTCCAGTCAAAGTCTCTAACCCTGTATTTGCTGGCTACGACTGGAATTTAGCAAGCACAGCTGTCACCATTACTGTTACTCTTCTGGGTATTCGTCAGTTTTATTTGATCCGGAAATTCGTTGTAGAGATCCACGGCCGAATTTTGTTGCGCAAGCGCGTTCTTGGCGATCGTCATGAACGCCTGTTCGACGTTCAAGCCGTCCTTGGCCGAGGTTTCGAAATACGGGATGTTGTTTTTCGACTGGCACCACTGCTGCGCCCTCTTCGAGGATATGGCCCTCGGTTCGAGATCGAACTTGTTGCCTAGGAGTACGAAGGGGAAGTTTTCGGGTTCGCGCGGCGACGCTTGGATGAGAAACTCGTCGCGCCAGCTGTCCAGAGACTTGAATGTGTTGGGCGCCGTCACATCGAACACTGAAACGAAAACTTTGCTTGAAGATGGCACATTCTTGAAGCGACTACTTCTATAAAGGGTGTCCCAAAATTGCTGGGACACAGAGCTACCTCGTGTAGAGGAGGTCAAAATAAGTTGATTGGACCCAATTTATTTATATGCCAAAATGTACCATTTGTCTTTGAGGAGGGTTTCAAAACACATTTTTGTACGCTGTTCAGAAATAAGTGAAACGAGTTTGTTGAAATTTGGCAATAGTGTATTTCAGAAGGTTACTTTCCTTTTGGTCATGGAAGAAACCTAAAAGAAATTGTAGAAGGGTTAAAACCACCCTCACCCTGACATTTTTTCAGAACTTTTTTAGGGGTCATAATACGGTTCTGCAGTTTTTTGAGCTTGAAGACTAATCAATTACCTTCATTTTATTACTCACGAAAAAATTTCGTATATCGCATAGTTCCGAAGAAAAAGAATGTTCTCTCAAATAATGCTACCAGATATTCCCAGTAAAAGTTCAATTGAATTGTGATATAAAACTCAGTTGGCAGTGAAAACGAAGGCAAGTCGTGATTTTGACAGGAAACAAATGTATTGTCATTCAAGTTTGTTGTTGACGTTGTCTGTAAATGTTTCAATAAATTCTTCAATGTACCATTACCGACTATTTAATTGTTGTTATTTTAACAGCTCAAAGATGCTCTTATAATGAGCAGACCGATATGATTTTAGTTCTTGGATTCTGTCAAGGTAACTGTCGGAAAAGTGCCCGCCTATTTATTTGAATAATGATGGAAGTAAGATATGGTGTAATTACTGATGCGCTTTTGTTTCAGAAATTTTACTCGACCTCTCGAGAACATGACATCTGTCAGTTTCGAAATTGTCGCAGATTTTTCGAATTCAGAGTTTAATAATCCCACTGTTACATATGTTCCGCGTACCTAAAATGCGATTTGCCATTTTATTTCTACTCGTCATAGCAGCAATAGCAGTATCAACATCTAGCGGGAAAATGTAAAATCAACGTCTCGCTCGTTGTGACGTAGAGAAATCATAGTAGGCAGTCGAGTGATTTTTCTGAAATTTTCAATAGGGAATAATGGCCGAATACGCGCACCATTTATCTTACTTCCATCATTATTTGAATCATAATAACTTTTGAATGCCGCAACCGATTTCCAATTTTTCTTCAGCTTCTGAATGCTTGTTTCATTGACTATCGAACCTATAGACATGATTATTGCATCTCTTTGGAATGAGATTCTACAGGATGATAATCAAAGCTGTCCAGTTTTCCAAATGCCAAAGGCTTCCCGTTTTAAAGATTTTTTTTTTCAATTTTTTTTCATATGTTTTATCGGCACTGTTGAAACATTTTTGTAAAGTTCCACAATGAGAGTAAAAAAGCGTAAGACGGCTCACTTCTTTTGATAAATTGAGGTTTTCTATTTGTTCAAATATTCTAGATTATTTTTTCTTAAATATTTTCTATAAAACGGACCATAGCTTTTATGGCTATCCGGCGAAATTTTATGATTTTTGAGTTTGACATTGACCTCATGTTCTAGTATCGCCAACTGGTGAGTGAAAATATTAGCCCTCATTGTCACACTCCTAAATGAAATATGAATATTTTTATAAGAGAATGCATAATTTAGGTATGTTCTTTTTTACACCACATTTTTTTCATCATTGGTGAAAGTGACGTCACTCTCTGATTCACCAAATTGTTGAAGTCATCAGTGTTGAAAAACACGCACTTATTTGACATGACAATCACAACTGTTTTTCATTATTTATTTTTCTTTGCATGATTTGATAGGTTGTTTTCAATTGGAAGCTCAGAATTGGCGAAAACTAATGTAAAATTAATTAAAAAAGGTTAAATCAAAAGTGTTATTCGAGTCCTTGTCTCCAGATCCAGAAGTTCTAACAGTTATTCTGATAGTTCCGAGGATGAAAGATTGTTTATGTTGGGGAGTAGACGAGACAGGTTGAAAATTCCCAACATACTTTATACAAAACATTGCATTAAATTATGATGATATGGATAATCATTAATCATTCCACTTTTATCCGCTACGCGTCGGGAGTCAAATCTACTACGTTTTTCCCTTGTATAATAAATAACTATTTTTCATGATCCTTCTGTAGTAAGCTTTCATGGTGGCAAAATTACGTCTGGTTGGTGACTGACACAAAATTTCAGAATGACACTTATTGAGTGTCATGAGAGAGGCTGCATTAAAATGAAGAGTCAAATCTAGTGATACGAAAATAACACATAGTAAAAGTGAAAGAAAGTTGTACTTTCAAGTCTTCAATCTATCAATAATATAAGAATCAGGAAAACCGCTGGCGTATAATCACCACAAATATCTATATGGTTCCTACCGACTGCGCCATGTTTTATTGTATCAAATAAAATACAGCCGATTACAATGGATTAATACTTTATTCTTTCTATAACCCTGAACACGACATCTTGTAGAAGTTGTCAACCAAAATCGTGCGTCAATCTGGCGTATAATCACCATAAATATCTATACGGTTCCTACCGACTGTGCCATGTTTTAATGTAACAAATAAAATACAGCCACAATGGATTAATACTTTATTCTTTCTATAAACCTGAACACGACATCTTGTAGAAGTTGTCAACCAAAATCGTGCGTCAATCATATGTCATATCAACAGTTGACAAGTGACAACTGGCAATGTCTTTATTAATTAAGGGTTGTCTCCACTAAACAAGATAACTAACTAGAGGTTGGTGTCCACTGGACAAGATTAATCTCAAACATAGTTACATTTCACTTGAACACCCACTGCGACGCCACTGGAAGTTTTATTTCAAATCTGAGTACACCACAAAAAGATAAATACAAAACATTTGAATTGACAAACTTTTGAGTTATTGAGAAAAAACAATGAACAGGATGGAAACACTGATACACTTTATCTCAGAAACAAAGCAAGTTAGGACAAATTTTTAAACGCACTTTTTTCCATAAAATGATGATTCACGCTTATTCATTGCCAATCCAACGTATTTGAGTAACAAGGTTTGAAATAAAAACACTTTCCATAAAATGTGTGAATCACTTGGTTGTCAATAATTGTGCTATAATAATAAAGTTCTATTGGTGTATTCAAAACATTCCTATCAATGATAAAATTTGATGACTGTGTGTTCATGAAATATGATCGCTGATTCATTGACAGATACAAAGGCCATATCTCATTAGTAATTTTATGTGAATTATTTATAGTATTCCAACAATTATATCTCCAAACTCCTTAATCAAATATAATTATTGTGAAATCAGTCTTGATATCAGACCCCAGATATGTTTTTATGTAAGTTTGAAATGTTTAAATGACCTCAAATAACATGAAACATTGTGACCTACTCAATGAAATGGAGAAAAAAATATATTAAAAAATTTTCAATTTCAGGGCCCTGCTATGATTTTCTCAATGTCCAAAATTGCTAAATTAGTCACATTTTCTTATTCAATCTCAACTTCACCACTAAATCCAGAACCTCTTCATGAACAATATTCCTTACCAAACAACAACTTAATTTCAGAAACTAACTTTTTTCATCAGAGTACGGCAATATTGCCAACAAAAAAGTGGAATATTGTTGAAAGTTCTGACAAAAACTTGTCATATACTATGTACCCGTCAGTAATAAACAAAGCAATGTTTCTTCCTGACTTGTTGAATATATTCCAGAGTAAATCCTTCTTTCCAGTAAGTATGCACAATATCTATTAACCTGATAGGTAATAATAATTTATTTTAACGTTGTACTTGGGGGTTAGGTTTTGCTTTAAAAAATATTAAAAATGGACTATTGAGTTGGACTCGCATGTCACATTACTTTTATTACATGTTATATTAATTTTTTTTTCAAATTAATCACTGGAAATATGCTTATTTGATTGAATTTCAAAAAAGTTTACTGAGAAAAGTTGCAAATCAAAATACTTTACCTATCTAACCAAAGTTTAGGACAGTTTTGTGGAAGTTAAAATTAGAGAAAATCAAAAAATATTGCACGATGTTCTTTGAACATTATAGGGAACAACTTTTCTCAGTAAACTTTTTTGAAATTCAAACAAATAAGCCTATTTTCAGTGATCAATTTGAAAAAAAATGTAACTTACACTCTTGAATATCATTTCACTATTTCTAGATGGGGGAACCCCTAACATGGATTGGGGAATTCACAGAAGTTTGTGGGAAAATTGATCATCTTATCATTTCAGTTGCAAAATATGATTGATTATATTATGTACTATTGAATGAGATCTTGACATGAAAAAAATGATATATTATTTTTTGACAAATAATATAATCCCTCTTGAACATTATAGGTCAAAAGTCACGTGACATCGACCAAGTAGGTACTTTTTCATCTTTTCTGAAGCAAAACTTGACGCTTATTTGAATTTCAAAATAAATTATTATCAAGTTTTTCCCATATGATGCCAACTTTATTAATGACACTGTATACAATTTCAAATTTGTCATAAAAACTATGATTTTATCTGATATGGTTGGCGTGTGTTGAATTTGTATTCTGTTTCAAAAAACTCATTATGATAAAGATAAACTTCTTGGATTGTTCTTTTATGGAAAATGAAAAAACAATTTTGAATCAACTTTTTTGAAAATAATTACATTCCTCATAAAGATTGCATTTGTTTGGACCTGTTGTACTTGATTATGTGAAAATATACAGGATGTTCCATTTGAAAAATAAAATTACTGGCATTTCTAGAAAAACCGAATTCTGCCATATTGGATTGTAATGTGATCAAATCTGAAATGGTTGCTTAATTATATAACTATACAAAATTTCAGAAAATTCCGTTTACTAATGCAGAAGTTACAGGATTGGTCAGTATATTGGTCAGACAGACAAAAAGTTGAATCACAGTATTCAGGAACATCATGAAATTGAATAAACATAATTATGCAAAAATTCAACATTTTATTCAAGGACTTGTCCTTTTGTTCCACAAACAAGGCAAATATCTATAGGGATTTACCTAGTTCTTGAGGATATCTGAATTTGCTTTCTCCTTTCCACTATATTATGTAGAAACTTGTGGAATAGTTTTTGATTTGCAGCTTGTGGAATAGTGTGGTGATAATGATCTAATAGTGAACAAGTGGTTAATTGAATTTATTGCATAATAATTGAAACACTCTTGAATATCATTTCACTATTTCTAGATGGGGGAACCCCTAACATGGATTGGGGAATTCACAGAAGTTTGTTGGAAAATTGATCATCTTATCATTTCAGTTGCAAAATATGATTGATTATATGTACTATTGAATGAGATCTTGACATGAAAAGAATGATATATTATTTTTTGACAAATAATATAATCCCTCTTGAACATTATAGGCATCAGATAAAACCTATTCAATAATTCCCCAGTTTCATTTGAATTTCAATCTTCAGATTTGTTGCTTAACTATTAGAATGTCAAACTCCTACATATCTAATTAATAGAAATAAACAAATCAATATCTTCATGTTATTGTTATATATATATATAGTAAATAATTTGCTTTATTGCAAAATCTTGAATGTATTGTTTGAATTACAGAAAAACCCTCTTTATGGAAATTATTGGTCATAGCATTGCATTTGTAATTGTTGTTTTCATGTTCAGAATTTTACAAATGTCTTCCAACATTTGCAGGAAGAGAAGGAAGGTCCTCTACCCAAAATTTGATATCATCAACAGAAATTGACAATATTTGTATTTTTAATAAGAACTCATTTTCAATTTATCTGTTGAGGAATTAACCACTAGCTCATTGTTTAGTATTTCCAAGCCAGCAAAGCCTTTGTCATCAACAAGTTATTTTGTCATAAGTTCAACAATAGGCATGTGAAAATGTGGGGTGGGTTTCTTACCTAAAACACAGCAATCAGCTCCTCTATAGAAAGCAACACCTAGAGATTGAAATCGTTCTTGTCCAGCTGTATCCCAAATTTGCATTGTTACAGTTCTGTCATCAACAGTTAGTTCCTTTGTTAGGAAATCTGCCCCAATAGTAGCCTTATATTGGTTTGAGAACTTCCTATTGACATACTGATTCATGAGGGAAGTCTTGCCAACACTAGAGTCTCCCAAGATGATAACCTTGAGCAAAGTCTTCTTTCTGCTAGCCATTTTCCTTCCTGATAAACAGAATATCATAGAAAAATCAATTGATTAATGACTCAACAGATTAATAATAGCCAATCAACACATGTAGAAGAATGACATCAGCTAAAAAACATAACAAAGGATAACCACCTCAACCAGATATAAATAAAGAATGAACACAAAACAGAAATAGGGTGAACGTTGATAAATCTTGTGCCTAGTGTTCAATAATGTGGAATGTGGGGTCATCAACTCATCACACCCTAGACCCGAATACACAATAAACCCTGATAAGGCCCAATTATAGACATAATAATAGTGTACGATGTCAGCTGATATTTATGCGATAAAGCCTATGATAAAAACACCTTCTGCTTGAAATAAGGAATATGGAACTGCAATAACTGCATAATTACATAAATAATTTAACTCACTTGCGAAATGTTATAAGAATAATACAAATTGATATTTCTTTTCACGAAAAATTTACTGCGTACAATTTTGACAAAATGACACTGAAATCACACAACACACAACTGACGAACTTACGATTGAAGAACTACAAACACAAGTGGGTGGTCTGTGAAGAAAAACAAAACAGAAAATGGCGTTTTGTCTAGTTTCTAGTTTCTTCTTCTGTCTTTTTTAATCAAACTGGGGACTTTGTTTTTATTGTTTTTGAACCAGAAATCCGTCGAATTCAATACTACCTGAATTGAAGCATCTTTAGATTCTTAAGTACGCAAAAGAGACAGGGGTCTACTCTTGAGCTTTATTCGTATACGAATTCGATCTACTTATCTTCTATTTCACTCCAATATACGTCACATACGTAAGTGCATCTTTGTTTATTCGTAGAATCGAATTACATGTCAACACATCACGTCATACGTCAATGTCAATACTACTAAGTTGTTTTTTCTTGTCGAACCGAGTTCAAGATTAATTTTGAACCGTTTTCAAGCGTGACGTACTAATTCATCTCATTCAAGAAAACAGACTATTTTGAAATGGAAGCCGTCATAAGTCAGATACATAACACATAACCTGAAAACCGAAATCAATAATTACATTTTGAAATTGATGATTATCTGTAAGAACTTGAGAAGTGTAAAAGAATGGAATCACTAAAAGTGGCATTTTTAATTGATAATCAGCAGATGAGGCAAGGTGTTTGTCTTCCACAAATGCTGAACCAGTCCAGAGAAATAATAATAATCGGGAAATGATTATTCTTCACAAAAATTTCCAGCATCCTGAAGCGGAAAATTATGTACCATACCCTCATCACACTCCATTTTCAAAGCTATGTAATTTCTCAAAAATATTCATAACCTCAAACGCTCAAATCATCAAACTTCGACGTTTTCCCACTCCTCCACTGGTTTTCCTGGTTCATTTAGAAGTTTTTGAACCGGAACGAACCGTATTAAGCGAGGTTCACAACCAAACTTTCCACGTTTTGCCTTTCACGTTTCGTGTTCTGATTGGTGAAGGGGAATATGAAATTAAACGTCATGTCAATTCCAGACTTTACTTGGTGACGTCATAACTTGCGCAAGTAAATGCTTGATTTCAAATCGTTTCTAAAACACGGTTCAACAAGAAAAGGCAGCCTCAAATTTCTGACGTCAGAAATGGTAGTTCATGGTCTGATTTTTTGTTTTTGTTAGAAAAATTGGAAAAAATGGCTAGATTAGCCAAAAAATGGCTAAAAAATTTTTCGTCTGCGGCGCGCTTTCGTTTTTAGCCATAATTCAGCCTTTTTCCAAGAATCATATTGTCATCTAGCCGTTTTCAAACTCGGCTGTTGGCAACACTGTTTTGTGTTCGAAAATCACAGATCAAAAAACAAACAACAAACAACACAAATCACATCACAAGTAACAAGTACACTGACACACTTACTATTATCACAGGTATTGACGCACTAGGTATTATTATGGTATTATTATAAACATCTCAGCTTGCACCTAGGGCCGGTGACTGAACTGTAAATGCAATATTAAAATTTGAAAGTGGTTTAAAAACACTGATCAAATAATGTCAGATCTTGAAAATTGGGGTGAGGATGATGAGGATGATTCCAACTATGTTCTGCCAGCTGAAATAGAAAATGGGCATCTAACTTCTAACACAGAAGGAGATTCAGCTGACTCCTCAGGTAAATATAGTTCACTGCACAAGTTGTAGAAGGTAATCCTACAATTTTTTCATCAATCATCATCTAATATGTGGGCTTGTTAATATTCCTACTGATGGTATCAGGGGATTTATTACCAGTACATAGTATGCTTAAGCTTAGGGCCCCGAGCCTTGCAGGGGCCCCGCAAGGGCTCTTTCATTGCAGCATTTGCATGTTTAAATGGAATGAAACATTGAGAGAAATAAATGTTTGCTCTGACCAGAACCTATTTTATACAGGGTGTTTGGGTGTTTCATAATATATGCACCCTGTATAGCAGCAGTGGCAACTTTGCAAGTTGCTTATAAATCTTAAACATGTAGTTTGAGCTCTTCAAAAGGCCGTGTTGCAAACTGAAAATAATTCAGTCATACTCATTCGCATACCTACCTAGAATAATTTAAAAAAAAACTGAAAATAATTGATTTTGTTCTTATTTTATTTTTTCAGTTGATATTTGAGGAATAAATTTAAAGGTGATCTTGTGATAGGCACCATATTTGTTTTTCAAACCATTGAATAGGGCTATTATAATTCCCTCCACAGCTATGTATAACTTAGTGCCCAAAAGCAGTAAAAACAATGTTATCACTTTGCAAAATTGAACTATAGGTAGGTATTCTAAATTTCCAAATGTGGTAGACCATGTTAATAAGAAAACAAAATATCAGTCCTCTTGACTGCAGTTTATTAATTCTTCCTCATAGCCATGGTGATGGAATTTTGAATTTCATTCTCAGATATTGAAGCAAATAATCAAAATCAATGATTTCCATTTTTTTCATATACATATCAGGGGGACTACTCCAATCTTTTTTTTTTTGTTTTGTGTTATTTACGTCCAGTATATTTTTATCAATAAATATTTAGTTTTGTTCTTGTTTGTATTTGAGAAAAAATGATAGTTGGTATTATTGATTGAAAAATTGGTGAGCAAAAACAAAAAACAAAAAAAAACAACGGGAAATGAGGAAAGGGGCCGCAGGGACAACAAGAATGATTGAGCATAGGGCTCCAAAAATCATAGATCCGACGCTGAATAGTATTAATTTTATCATCCAGCCTGCAATTATGGGACTGATGGTCTGAAAGAGTAACCCCATGTACCTGAAAGCTAGTGGGAATTCAATTATCACCATTGATATCTCTTGAAGCAAGTCTTAAAGTACAAAATATGTTGAATTGCCACATGGTATTTTTTGATCATCTCATGATTACTGTTAGTAGATACTAGAGGTATTTAATTGTCATTTGAAACATTCACACACAAAAAGTGGTGCTTTCAGTATTCAGATGTGAGTCTTGAACTTTTTGGATTCATTAAGTTATGTAGGTACCCTTATCAGCTGAGGCAGCAAGAAAGAAGACTGCTGTTCTAGGAAATCGCCGCCTGAAGCTGACCTTTTAAATTCATGTTGATTATGATCATTATTCATTCTGTATTTTGCACTATTCACACACACTTGGCGCATTTCAAAATAAAATCTTGTTTTTAAAAACCTATTTCCAGTTTTTCAAATCATTTCAATTATCAACTCTTTATACTTTCCTAGTATTCTGCAGTTTTTTTTTTTTTCATGAAAAAAGGTACACCTGAGTAAAACCGGAAGTGATGGGGAGGAATTCATGATTCAGAATCTTGGAAACCATGGCTTGCTTAATAAATGAACTACACAGCACTAATTTCGTCACATCTCAAAATTTTGCACCTGTTAAAATATGAATGATTTTTTTCTGCTTTGAACAATTTGAATTCGGATCAAACTGTTCGTTAGCCCAGTCCTCCAGCTGTAATCTCGTTTTTCTTTAAAACTTGAGGTTCTTCATATAAAATCGCTACAGGGTGTCACCTAACACTATGAAAATTTTTGAATTTTCCACATTTTCAAATGGATCCCAAATGAACAAAATCTTCTCATCACCTTAGGACATTTTTCAAATTGTCTTCTCATCTCTTTCATTTACTGAGTGATCTCAAAAAATCAAGTTTTTGGTTTTGCAGTCATAACTTTTTTTCCTTGTCAACCGATTTTTGAAATCAAATGCCTCTTTTTGAAGCTGAAACTCCAGATGGAGAGAAATGAAGATCAGAATTGATCTCGGAATTGACTCAAGATGAACATTATACAGTGTGTCTCACTTCTAATGGAAGCATTCCTGTATCTTTCATAATTATTGTTGAGCTCGTTGTTGTGTTAGGATTTTTAAATTCACAGGCGCGGTAGATATACTAAAAATACATACTATGACCAAGTGGAGTCATCTCTAGTTATATACACTGCTCGCCAACAGCCATGGAACCACCCACAATAATGAATTTAGGAGGCAAGATTGGTTGAAAATAATTTTTCAGAACTGAAAATTTTCCAGGCAAAATATGTATAGTTCAAAGAGGGGAAGGACACCTATTGCCAGTTTCGGCATTAAATGCTAGTTTATTACCGTAGAGATTGTAGATGGGTCGTATAGGCTGGGAGACCTCTCGATCACTGCGACCTAGAAGATCTATTGTGATTACCCCTATCTAGTTTTGGTCCTCTAACCCTAGACTTCTGATGAAGCCTACGATTATCCTGACGGTTGAATTTTCCACTTCAGCAGGGGTGAGATAGACCTGTTCTAGGTGGTTCAGCCTTTGGCGGACTAATACTTCACATGAGCAAAGTATGTGTCCCGCGGTTTCGGTCGCATTGTTACAAAAGCGGCAAGTGTCAGTCTCCGCCAGGCCCATCTTTTTGAGGTGGTACCTCAGAGGGCCGTGTCCTGTGAGAAAGCCTGTGAGAAGCTTTAGCTCTGGTTTGCTGAGGCTGAGTAGCTCTTTGGCTCGGTTCAGCGAATGGTTGATGAACCTTTTCGCTTGTTGTTGACCTGGAGTTGCTCTCCAGCAGGAGGACTTTTCAATTCCTTTCCATTTCCTGAGTTCTTTCTTTAGGTGACATTTGCTTATCCAACAAAAAGGCTCAGGACCAAAGAGTGCAGATGCTGCACCCATTTTTTGCAAGGCGATCAGCTGCCTCATTTCCTTCGATTCCTTCATGCCCTGGAACCCACATAAGTGTGACTTTGTTGCCCTTTCCCAGTTGCATGAGTGTTTCAA